ATGATAGACTCTGATGACACCTTATGGAAGGCTTCCCCATCCAGCGGAAGCAGAAAGGATATGTGATAGGTAGGGTTTTAGTTGGGGGGCAGGGTGGTAGGGGAGGATGGGAGGGAGAAGGGAACTGGGATTGTCATGTAAAACAATTTTGTTTCTAATTCAAATAAAAAAATCTGCAAACAAATCTTACACTTAAATTTCTCTATCAGGCTAAAAACAAATAAAATGAACTTCCATAATTCATGGTATTAGTGTCAGGATTTTTTTTCTTTCAACAATGCTGCCCTCTAGTGTCTTTGCAAGTAAGCACCATGGGAAAAAAAAAAAAACACCTGAGGCACTAAAAAGGAATTTCCTGTTGGCAAGCTAATTTCAGGGGATTTTTATAGATAGATAGATAGATAGATAGATAGATAGATAGATAGATAGATAGATAGACAGACAGATAGATAGGAATGATAGATAAGCTAAGACAGATGATAGGTAGACAGGTGATAGGCAGACAGATAAATGCTATAGGAATTTAATTTAAATTTAAGCTACTACCTATTTAATTCTACAAGTTCTGCTTTGACTGCTGAGCCCCCTCCACAGAGGAGAACTCCCAGTACTTGCTTCCCCAATTCTTCCCTGCTCTCTCTTCAGAGCCACACACAACATAGAGAAGGTATGGCCAACAACTAAAGGCCTGTGCACCTCTGCCTCACCTCTCACACACCCCCTTTTCACTGTGTCACAGTCCATGGAGAAGACATCATCAAACAAGAACCCATCTCCCACTGAGTTCCAGGAACCCAGCTCCTCCCTCTCACCCTAGTGTTCTCTCCTCCCTGTCCAGTGCCACAATGGGTCTCATCGGTGATCCCTCATTCTGGCTCATTCCCAATGGTACCCAGATATTCTCTCACCTCTCCATCTTTAAACAAAATGCTCCCTGAGCATCCCCTGAATTACTCTTCTCTCTGCATCATTCATTTGGCAACCTGTTGGCTTTATACAGGCTGTCTCCAAACCTGTCTGCCCTCCGTTCTTCCATCACTCCAGCCTGGCTTCGGGCCCTCACAGTGACACTAAAATGGCTCTCATGGTCTGCAGTCACTTACTTTTTCTCTCTCTGTCTCTATCTCTGTCTCTCTGTCTCTCTCTCTCTCTCTCTCCCTCTTCTCTCTCTCTCTCTTTCTCTCTCTCTCTCTCTCTCTCTCTCTCTCTCTCTCTCTCTCTCTCTCTCTCTGTGTGTGTGTGTGTGTGTGTGTGTGTGTGTGTGTGTGTGTGTGAATCCAGCAGACACTGCAGCCTCTGACATGGTTGTTCCGTGTCCCAGCCCCATGGTCCTCCTCCTTGAAGCACCCTCTGTTCTTGGCTCTAAAATGTCCCTCCCCAATGACTCCTGACCAGTCAGCTGACTGCACACGGTTCTCTCTGTGACCTCATGCTGACAATGAAAACCTCCCTCTTTCTCTTCAGACTTCCATACTATGAGAGCCCAGTCAGTAAGCTGCACTCCTTAACACACCAGTGTCCAGCCTCATCAATTCAATATTCCCTTCCAGTGTCACCCACAGCATCCCGTGTTCCTCACATCCAAAGAAGAGTCCCTGGATTTCTTCCATTGCCCTCTTCTCTATAATTAGTCAGGTATCTGGGAGAAGGCCTTGATTCCTTCCTGTCCACTATGTGCCACGGTCTGTCTTAATTACCAAAATCCTCTACATCAGCCTTGTGGCATGGCAGAATCTTCCCAGAGGCCCATGCTCCAGGGCTTACTCTTTCACTGGTTCTCCACTACATAGGCATAAGCATCCTGAGATACGAACTCTGATTACAGGACTTCTCTCTCATTCCCTTGCCTAAAAATAGCAGCAACTAACACTTCTTATAGCTTACAGTTTGGTTTGCCCTCTGCCAACTTGATCTCAAACTCGTGTCCTTCCTTGGTGGGTTTCTGCTACCTAGATTTGTTTCAACCACTGGAATTCACTGAGCTCTGTCTTGCTTTCAGGGCCCTATACATGCTGTTCCATCATCCTAGAATTATTTCTCCCATGCTTCACACGATTTCCTCATCTTAATGCGTCAACATAACTCCCAAGTGAGACATTCCTAACCCTAACTCAGTAGATCTTCCCTTTCACTTCCTATCTAGACCACCTTATATTTTTCTATAACACTTTGCATTGATAATCACTTCTTTATTTCTCCATCTTTGCTAGCCAAGCCTAAACTCCCCAAGTCTAGGAATTTCATTTTACTAACAGATGAATCCGGAATTCAGCACAGTGTATGACAAATACCAGGCTTTCACACTAAATGTGTTCAACAAGTAAAAGAATGAGCCCTCGAAGAATCACAAAGTCCCCTCCACCTTAACTGCTTTGGTTAAGGCTTCAGTAACTTCCCATGCCCTGGCCACCTGGCTACTCTATCTTCCTTGCCTTGTCTGTAGAGAGCAGACAGGGGAGTCTTCAGTTTCAGCTTTCTCTCTGTGAACCTCTTCAGTGTCACCAACATGTCTAGCCCACCTCAGCATGGCCAGCTCCCAGAACAACAGGTACTAATGAACATGGTAACTGGAGGACCTCCCAGCTCTGGAAGAAACAGGCTATGAACAGGAAGGGACTTGTTGCAATGATGGAGGTGGCTAATCTACCACAAAGATGCGAACAAATGGCTTCAGCTGCCAGGAACCTTTATGATCTCCATTTGTGTGCTCTTTTTTCATTTTTTTAATTAATTTATTTTTTTACATTCCAATCCCAGTTCCCCCTCCCTCCTCTCCTTCTCTCCCCACTTCCCCCACACACACCTCCCATCTGCTTCACAGAGAGGGTAAGGTCTCCCCTAGGAAGTCTACTAAGTCTATCCCATCATCTCATTGAGGCAGGACCAAGGCATCTCTCCTCTGCCCACACCCCTGTGTCTAGGCTGAGCAAGGTATCTCTCCATATAGAATGGGCTCCACTAAGTCACTTTGTGCATTAGTGTTAGATCTTGGACCCACTGCCAGTGGCCTCATATATTGTCCCGGTCAAACCATTGTCATCTATATTAAGGGAGTCTAGTTCGGTCTTAAGCAGGTTCCCCATTTGTCAGACCTGAGTCGAAAAAAAAAAAAATCAGTAGCCCTCCTATATACAGATGATAAATGGACTGAAAAGGAAATCAGAGAAATATCACCCTTTACAATTGCCACAAATAATATAAAATATCTTGGGGTAACTCTAACCAAACACGTGAAAGACCTGTATGACAAGAACATTTATTTTTTAAAGAAAAAAATTAAAGAAGATAACAGAAAATTTTAAGATCTCACATGCTTTTGGATAGGTAGGTCAACATAGTAAAAATGGCAATCTTACCAAAAGCAATCTACAGATTCAATGCATCCCTATCAAAATCCCAGCACGATTCTTCACAGACCTGGAAAGAACAATACTCAACTTCATAGGAAAAACCAAAAAACCCAGGATAGCCAAAACAATCCTGTACAATAAAGGATCATCTGGAGGCATTTGTGTGTTCTTTAAAGGAGAGTGGAAAAGTTTCTTATAATTTTTATCACGTTTGTTTAGCAAGGGATAAATAAACACAGTTAGGGTCTGTGATAAGATACTGATCACAAGACAAAGTGTTTAGCTAATAAGCCAAATTCCTCATTAGACAATAGTGAATAAAAGCATCCCCATCTTCAAAATAAACCAAAGGAATCTTAAAATAGCACATATAAGCCAAACAACAAAGATGCTGAAACCCCACCTAACCTTGGCTCTCTCAATCCAAATCCTGTTCCTTCAACTTAAATACAAATAAGACTACATCTACCCCAAGAGGGATATGGCATACATCTGTAATCATAGCACCCAGGAGGCAGAAACTGGAGGATTGCTATAAATTCAAGGGCAGCCTGTCGTACACAGGTGAATTCCAGGCCAGTCCAGGCTTTACAGTGACACTCTTGTCTCAAAAAACAAGAAAGAATAAAGAGAGAAAAACGATGGAAGGAGGCAGGGGGGAAAAGAGAAAAAGAAAGAGAGAGAGAAAGGAATGTCTCTACCCCAATTCTATTTTGAGCAAAGACTCTGTTCTGAAGGATATTTAATCTATGGATTATTGAGACACAAAGAATTCCAAGACCTTGACCCTTTAAATATGTCCAGGGATCTGGCATCCTAGGAGTATAGTTAACATGCTTCATGGAAGCAAAAGAAATCCAATGCTGTCTGAGGATTTGGCTAGCTTGAACTTGAGGCTCTTCGTGCCTCTGAGTCCTGTAGCTCATCTGGCTGGTGCCAAGAGGATTAGCTTAGCTCCACCCCATGGGGAGAGGATTAATCTTCTTGATCAGAAAATGTGATGTTAAACTGAAAGAGGCTAAAGTGTAAACTGGGTGGGCCCACCAGCAGGCCCTGGTGAAATCAATTACTTGGGTGTCTTAGAAGAAAGTTTAGTTCAAAGTAGTCAAGGACAGGGTGTGTCAAAGTGGGCTTTGCGTCCCTGTGGCTTCAGCTGTTTGTTCAGCGTTTTATATGTTTATCTTCCTGTTAGACACAGTTATTGAGTCATCTCTATTAAACGGCTATTGAGGATAAGGAACAGCTAGCTCTGCAAATCCACCATACAGAAGAGACAGGCCGTTCATCCTCTATGACCCTACATTCTACAGTCATAACAAATGCTTTTCCTCCCTTCTCACTTTGTGAACAAGATACTCAGTTCATTTATCAAAACAAGAACCATCAAGCCAAGTAAAGGAAGAACCTGTGGTAGTCATTACATTCTTAAAACTGTTTAGTATTGTTGCAAACTGAAAATGAGGTGTCAGTTTACCTGAAAGTACTGTCAAGCCTCCATACCATTGATGGTGAATGTTTGTTGTTACCAGTGTTACGTGTATTTATGTTAATCAAATAATTACATTAAATTGCTACCTTTTGGAGAGAGTAGGGGAAAACACATTACTCTGTAAAGTATATGTACATCGACTACTGTTTGGGCTTCCACAGAAATTGTTCGAGCCATGACACACGTCATCAACCAAGGCATGGCAATGTACTGGGGCACCTCGAGGTGGAGCGCAATGGAGATCATGGTGAGTTAACTTCTAGTTTTAACAGCTGCTGGGCACTGTAGCATTATTTTTTAGATACCATATTTAAGTTGCAATATCTTCTGCAGACCTTCTTACAATACCACGGCATTTGAATTCTAGGATTTGTTCCATTGTTAGGGAGATGGCTGTCAGGGCTGGAGCCCAACAGTTTAGGAACAAACGCAAGGAACCAGATCTCCAATGGGAATCATGTTTTAGCATGTTCTTTGCTGGCAAAAGAGCAAGGAAAATTTCAAAGCTAATGAAATATGGGAATAGAGTATTCTAGCTTTCTTAACAATAATCTTGTTGATAACTATTCTGCTTATAACATGCCACTTATAGATCACTTTTATCTGAGTGTTTAACTGGGTTTTATTTCTTTAAGAACCTAACCATATTCAAACAATATCTTCTTTATAATAGTCCATAATTCAAGCTTTGATTAATTTGTCCCAGACTTTACTCAGTCTAACCCTCCCAAAGAATAAGGATTTCCCACATATGGTACCTCTCTTGGTGAAAATTATGACCATAACTTTGCACATGTTTGGCTTATTTCCTTGCTTCTTATTTACTACACTGAAATGTAGTAAACTCAGCGTAAACTCAGTTACAATCTTCTGTCCCTAGGAAGCCTATTCTGTTGCACGGCAGTTCAACATGATCCCACCGGTCTGTGAACAAGCTGAGTACCATCTTTTCCAGAGAGAGAAGGTAGAGGTCCAGCTGCCAGAGCTCTACCATAAAATAGGTAATTTTCAAAATCACATCTGATCGTTCCTCACACTATGAGAACCAGTGATTGGGGGGAAGGGGATGTTAGGAAAATGCTTTCCCAAATGTTCCTAATTAATTTAATAGAGAAATGACAAGAACTATGCATCTCAGAGATTGTGGCAGAATCAGGTGGGACCACAGTCTACAAGGTACTGTGATAACAATCACAATCTTGTAAACTGTCATATAAGTGAACCCGAAGGGGTTCAAAACAAGGCACACACAAAGAGGATTCAGTGTATAAACTTGATTTGCATAGGTGCTTGCTCTAGCATAAACATGCATTTATCTGTGAATAGACTGAGTTCAAAAGCATATAGATAGCCACATGTCTCTCATGCTGTGCCTGTGACTGGAACAGAGGGGATTCAACAACAATCAAAAGTCAGAGCAATTTGATTGTGTGGAAGTGGTGCCTGGAGCAGGGATATAGACACAAAACAAACACAAGGAATTTCAGGTATTAGAAACATCAATAAACCCCGTATTCCGTCTTATATGCCAAAGCAGTTTCCAGAGATTACTTTTTTCCTAAAAATAATTGTCAAATACTGGACTGAAAACAATACAAACTCAACAATAGCCAGTGCTGTTCCTGTGGCACACCAGGCACTTTCTGTGTGGCAGCTGTGCTCCTGCTAAGTGCCAGGTACCGTCAGGCACTGGTGGATAAGCGAAGCACTGGCTCTCTTTGCAAGTCAAAGCTCTTATCTCTCGGTCTATGAATTGTGGCCATGAAAAGGTCATGAATAAGCCATATTTTCGGGTTCACTTATATGGCTCACTCCCAGGAACAGACAGTACATGTTTAATTGGTTTATAAAAGAATGAGGCACAATTTGTAAGTACTAAATTGTAATGGAAAGACGGATGCCGGTATGAACTCATTTATTTGGCCAGCTTTCCTCTAGAACTGACAGAGCTCTGTTTAAACACACCCTCACTTTTGGTCCCAATTGGCACAAGCAATTTTCTGTGATTGTGTGTTTTTGTTGTTTTTCCTCCATAGGGGTTGGTGCAATGACATGGTCTCCGCTTGCCTGTGGAATTATTTCAGGAAAATATGGAAATGGGGTACCAGAAAGTTCTAGAGCTTCACTGAAGGTATTTTCCTCAACTTGTAGAAAAGATTCCCAGGAAGGGCAGAAGGGAAGAAGATGGGTTAGAAGCAAAGCAGCGGCTCAGGCAGGGCTTCCCAGCTTAATCACACTGTGGCCTTGGCCAGTCATGGCCTCTGGCAGGGCCCCTTCAGCCCTGCCCAGGTTTCTGGTGCTGGCGACAGATCAGTCAGCACTTCACAATCTGCCTGCACAGAAACTTCGTCCCTGAGGAAGGAAAGAAAAGTGTCCAATCACCTGGTTGACTTGTCGACTCAAATCCCCACATTCTTACTTATTCTTATGTTAAAGGAGGTTATTTCATTCCTTGTCTGGAAGTGACAAAATTTTAAATCCCTTTTCTATATAAGAGGATTTAATTTTCCTTTTCTTGAGAAAACAAAACTTAACCCATAGAGGCTAAATCCATTTGAAGTAAACAGCTGTAGCTGGGTATGGCTTGAGATTGGCTTACATTTCCTACTGCATTTGGGGAAAGGGTAAAGAAAGAGGGCCCCCAGGGGACAGAAGCTGCACACATCATCACCAGTCTCCACTCTGCCCATGGGTGTTTTTATTTTATTTCTTTAAGTCAATACGTATTGTACAACATAGTGGGTTTCTTAATGGCATTTTTGTTCAGTTGTATCATATACTTGGACCACATTCACTCCTCATTGCCTAGTTCCATCTTAGACCCCTTTCTGATGATGAACTTAGTGGGGAGTACTATAAACATCTTTCCTTATTAACAACAAGGTGTCTGTGCTTTAAAAGCTTGGAAGACTGTGCAACAACATTAGAATCACAAATCACTCTGTAATGTCAAGAGATAGAGAATACACAATCTAAAAAAATTCACACAAGCCAAAGTCATCTCAAGAAGAAGCATATGCCCGACCCAAGCTCCAGCCTCCATTAGCACTGAACCAGCAGAACAGCCTAAGCCAAGCCCAGCCCTTTCCCAGTATAGCTGGGAGTTTGGGGCAGAGGGGTACCAGCACGGATGGGACAGGACAACTGACCACTGACACTTCCCAAACTAGAACTTTCTCAAGGCTCTAGGCCTTTCTGACTAGATGAGTTGAGCTTTTAGTTGTTGGTTCTCTAAAGTCACAAGATAGAAATATCCCCCAAAGCATGCTGACATGACAGTGTTCTCATTTCTAATTATCCCAAAGCACAGTTATCTCAGAATATTTAATGAGATCTTGTTCCTGAAAACTGAAGGTCATTCAGAACAAATTCTAAACAAGTCCATGAAGAAAAACTAACGGCCTCTTAGTCAAGGATGTGAAAAAGGAGGAAGGCAAGAAGGGCATGCAGGAAAAGGAAATTTGGAGAATTGAGCTTTTACTGAGCACCTACTATGTGCCAAGCAGTGAGCTAGAAGTTATCTTTTACTTCCTTGTATCTTCACAATGAGAAATGGACACAGTTAGCTTGCAATAAGTTGTGGCTAAGCTAAATTGCTATATACACATTCCTCTACTTATGATGGGATAATGCCCAGATAAGCACATTATACATTCAAAATGTACTGTCAAAAATGCACTTAATATGGCTAACCCACTGAATATCACAGTTTAGCAAACCCTTATCTTGAAAAAAGAAAAAGACAACTAATACATATCATGCAATTTATTGAATATTGGACTGGAAGTGAAAAACAGAGGTTGTATTAATACAACTTTTGCATACCAGTAAGAAAATCCCAAGTCAAACAATCTTAAGCTGGAGACCATCTGTATATTCTTTCATATGCTTTCCAAAAAATTCAAAGCACTTCACATATGTGGGCTATTTGTTCTCAGAGTAATCCTGCAAGAGGCAGGCTTCTGCCGGATGCAGAAACTGAAGCCCAAGGACATTAAGCAACATTAAGACCATAAACTCCTAACAGATAAAGCTGACTTGAGAACCCAGGCCATCTGTTTCCTTTCACACCCAGGTCTTTAAGGGAAGCAGTAGTTGTGCTGTATCTGGACCACATGACTGTGCAGCCTCTATCACTGTTTGATAAAAAACTCACACACAGATGGAAAACAACCACAAATGCACTAACAAAAGTAGGAAAGGGGTGGGGAGAATATATTAAATATCTGACTGTGGCTAAGTCCAAAAGTAACTGGGGAAATGTTTGGTTGGCTTTCATGAAGTCAATCAAGTAGACACCCCTGGAACACTAACAGGAAACGTTTAGAACCTGTCCAAAACAAAGGTTCGGAAAGTGCCAGGCTGCAGACTTCCACGAACTCTCCTGGCTCTGCACTATCAACCCAGTGTTTTCAGAGCAATATGCCTGTTCTTGGGAAAGCCACTTAAGCAGAACTACCAAAGTGAAAAATGAAAATAAAAATGAAAGAAGCAAATGGAAGGACATCCTCAGGACTACATTATAGAGCTAATAGAAAAATTAGAGACAATTTTTAGCACAGCCCTCCCAATGGTTCATATAACATTGTTATTATCACTGAAATGCTAATATTATTTTGTGCCTGCTATATTGAACTACTATTGAAGAATCAATCATTTTTTAAAATGACTCTCCAGGGCTCTTTCAGTAAACAAGATTAGCCAGAGAATTTTCTGGGCATCCTCTTCTGGCTGGCCCCATCCCTCTAACTCCATGTCATCAACTCTAGACTCCACTGTTGAGAAGCAAACTGCTTCTTCCAATCTAATAGATGTCCCATGGGATCTGTTAACCCTAATAGGATCTACTCACATAAGCTTCTGCTCAAACTTCACTCTCCTTTAGATCAGCAATGCCTCTGCCCAAGATCAAGCCATCCTCATCAGATGTCATAGTGCTACCTCACATTGTAGCCTCTTCATCCTCACCCTGCTTAGCAAGGCTCCAAATCCTCCAGACCACATCAGGTTCACCCCTGCACAGCCCTGATGTAGGTCTTCATCTTTCCTTAGCAGGTTTACTGCAGGAGTGAACTTGGACGCTTCCATTTCCTCCCTTTTCTCAACAATCCACCCTTGTGGTCAATTATATTTCTAAAAGACCATATCATAATACATTTTTAAATGCTTTCTTGACTTCATAAATCCCAAATCTCTTGGAATCTAAGTCAAGTCTATTTCCCATTCTTATCTCTACTATCCCATGTTATTTCATTGCCTACCCAAATACACTGTGCTCTCCTTTGCCTCCTAGAAGTGTTCTTTTCATTCTCCTGTGGTTTTCCCATCTTCTCCTCAAGAACAAAGCCTGTAGCTTAATGAAGTTATTGAGTTATTTGCACTTTCCTCTATTTATTCCATCAACACTTCTTACAGAGACTTGGAGTTCTCTGGTTGTCAGAGACAGAGCTCAATGTGAACAACCTCATTCTAAGAACTCTGTTGTCACAAAGACAGCCCTTTAGGATGGAGTGGGGCATGGCTTGGTTGTGATCTGTCCATGGATTTGAATATGATTTAGTCCTCTGTCTCCTCTACTTATCTCTAATGGATATGCCATTTTCTTCACTATACACCAATCTTGCCAATGAAGCTGGGAGCAGGGAAACTGGTAGCCACACCCCTAAGACAATGTATCCTAGAAGAAAAGAGATCTTTGATTTACTAGCTTCAGACCAGAAAAGAATGGCCAAAGTTGTCCAACCTGTGAGACCAGAAACAGTAGCCAGGAGAGAAAAATACTTTGCTCAGCCCAGCCACACACCATTTTGTTGAAGTATTTTTCATAAAGAAAGTGCTACAAACATGGCTCCCGAGGAAATCATTGAAGCAGGAAGGTTACTCAGCTACAAAACACTAGAGTTCTTAGATATTGACTTGTGGATGCTTTTTGTTTTTTTTAAGATTTCTTTATTTATTATGTACAGTGTTCTGTCTGCATGAATGCTTGCAGACCAGAAGGGGGCATCAGATCTCATTAGAGATGGTTGTGAGCCAACATGTTGTTGCTGGGAATTGAACTCGGGACCTCTGGAAGGGCAGCCAGTGCTTTTAACCTCTGATCCAACTCTCCAGCCCTATGGTTTGTGGATGCTTCTAAGACAGAAACTAAATCTCTCTAACCCATCACAGAGCCCAGAACGATTCAATAAATGCTGACTGAATGAATGATAACCCAAAACATAAGATAAATTAACTAGCACTTTGGCAAATATTACTGTGTTGGTCACTGGGGATACAGAGCCCAATGGGTTAACCCTGATGTTCAAAGAACCACCTCAGGGACTTCCACAGAGGCACACATGTCAAAGGAAACTGGTGAAGCAACAGAGTCCATAGCACTGTGCCATCCAAAGATTGTCAACCATATTCACCATCAGTCTTCTTACAAAACCCGGAGTCACTTCAATAATTAATATTTTAATTATATTTTATCTCTTTCCACTATTAACATTTTTCCATTTGAAACGAAGTTAAAGCTATTTATTTACAAAGCAAAACAAACAAAAAGCCCTTTGTTTCCTTTGGTATTAGGAAAGCAGTATAAATAAACATTGTATTTTTTACAACCTAACTCCTACACATTTCACTGATTATGGCAACAGTGAACCATGCAGTATTGAGAGTCAGAAGAGAAGAATTCAATAGTATATATTTATATTTGTGAGTGTGGATGCACACATACTACTGTGCATACGTGGCAGCCAGAAGACAATCTCAGGTGTCAGTCTTCACCTTCCATCTTATGAGACAGGGTCTCTTTTTTGTTGCTCACTCCCACATACATCAGGCTAGCTGGCCCATGAGGTTCTGGAACTCTCCTGTCTCTGCCACTCATATCACTGCAGAAGTGCTGGAATTACAGGCACATACATCATCCCCAGTTTTGTATGGGTGCTGGGGATCCAAGCTCAGGTCTTCAGTTTTGTGCAGCAAGCACTGTACCCACTGCATCATCTCACCAGCCAATGCTGGCTATTTTTAGAAGCCTTTCAATATGATTGATGTATGTGCAACACACACACACACACACACACACACACACACACACACTGCATTCCAATCTTAAGAAAAATAATTTATTACATATATTTCAAAAATAGAGTAGTTCTATAAAACATAAATCAAGCATTCTTAATATGCATGATATATGCTGAAATCTCAAGAAGTCTACTTTTTTCCCCCTGATGGATTTTTAAATTTTTTATTTAAATTAAAAATGTTATTTTACATACCAATCCCAGTTTCCTCTCCCTCCTGTCCTCCGATTCCATCCATCAACCCCTCTATCCCACCCCCATCCACTCCCCAGGGAGGGTGAGGGTTTCCTTGGGGGATCATCAAAGTCTGTCACATCATTTGGGGTAGGACCTAGGCCCTCCCCCGTGTATCTAAGCTGAGAGAGTATCCCTCCATAGAGAATTGTCTCCCAAAGTCAATTTGTGCACTAGGGATAAATACTGGTTCCACTACCAGAGGCCCCATAGACTGCCTAGGCCCCCAAATGACACCCACATTCAGGGGGCCTGAAGTACTCTACTTTTTAAAAACTGATCAAAAGCGCTTGTCTATTACTTTCTCACTTTGTGTTTGAGTCACATTCAGAGATACTGCTTCCCTGAAAGACCATGAAATTTAAGTGAGGATTAGGAATATGTTCCCTTCGGATACCCACAGCTGTTCAGGGATGTCTGATGTAGGCAGCACGCTGGGTCAAGAAGGCTGCCTGGGCCCTAATCATGAGCTCATTGTTCATAGCCATTCACCCCATCACCAGCTGTCATCTCTGGAGATGTCACTTCAGGCACCCTTCCTCTAGAAGAATCAGAGACTTCCCAAGACTGAAGCTGGGAAAGCCTTGGCCATTTCCCCAAGCACAGTCCCAAGTGAAGAACCAGACCATAAGCCTTTGATATCAAGGAGCAGACAGAACTGGGGCAGCTTGCCCTTCTCTTTTTCACATCTGTAAAATTATTCCAAAAATCACAATAAAACATAATGTGGTTATCCTTTTCTTTGGAAATTCTTAGAGGGATGAAAAAATACTTAATGAAACAAAAGCCAGCAGCCTATTGAAATCATTTGGGAAGACTGCCTATGGCCAACTGCCAACTGCAGAGCTTCCTTCTGCCTCTGGGAAGGTTCCGATCCATGGCTGCAAGGAAAAGAGGAAGGTTCTTAACAGACACCCACTCACTCCTTCCCTTCAGCTATTGCTGGTTAATACTGGCCTTGTATAGTAGAGAATTAATTCCCATCTTCTGTAAGAGCAGAGCCTTCTGCAAAGTAGGGCAATAAGAAATTCTCAAAGACTTTTCATATTTGGGTAAGTAAACTCACTCAATAATCATAGTCAGTCTTTTCTCATGTTTTAAAAGAGTAGTTTCCTGGGTTGTCTTTTAAACACCTAATCTATTGATTCAATTTGTGGCATTAAAACCAACCACAATAGGAAGTCAACATAAAGCTCTCATAATAATAATATTATTGTAATTATTATAATTATCATATCACTATGTTAGGAAGCTGAAGAGGTGGTCAAGTGACTACTAACACTTTGTACTGTTGCAAAGAACCTGAGTTCAGTTCCCAGAAACCATGTTGAGTAGCTCAGAACTGCCTGGTACTCCAGCTCTTAAAGGTCTAACATCCTCTTATGTTCTCAAAGGGCATCTGCACACATACACACATACACATAAATAAAACATTTTAAAAGAACAATGAGGTTAGGGATGGAATAAGGTAAAAGAGACAAGTTATAACAATAATGCAAAACAATGATCTTCAGGGGACAGAAAACTCTCCTAAAAGAAAGCTGTGTGTGTGTGTGTGTGTGTGTGTGTGTGTGTGTGTTTCCACATGAGTTCGGGTACCGTCAGATCCCCTGGAGTTAGAGTTATAGATAGTTGTAAACTGCCTGATGTGGGTGCTGTAAATTTAACTCTTGTCCTCTGAGAGAGAGCAGAAGATGCTCTTAACTGATGAGCCCTCTCTCCAGCCTCATTCTGACCTCCTTATATTTTATTGAATTAACAACTTTTGACATCACACCCATACAAGACACTACTGCTTACATGTCATTGTTATCCCCAGTGCTACCAGTGGTTGAAGGAAAGAATTGTAAGTGAAGAAGGGAGAAAGCAGCAAAACAAGCTAAAAGACCTTTCTCCGATTGCTGAGCGTCTGGGATGCACACTACCTCAGCTGGCTGTGGGTAAGAGAATGACTAGGGGATGGCAGAGTGGGGTCTGGATCTGGGGTAAATTTCACTGAGAAGACTAAAGATGTACTTTTCTATGGCTGACCCACACCCTGCCATAGTAACATGTCGACTGTGGGGGCAGGCTGATCTCAGGAGTATCAATTTCTGGTACATGTAGCAGAAAGTGAGTTATTCAAAGTTTCCCAGAATTTTCTGTATGCTACGACCTTGTTTCTTCCCTTTCTCCTTATAAGATGGTTACATGAGAACACAAGGAGAGAGAGAAAACAAAGTTAGGTAGGTAGAGAGACAGGGAAGACCCTGGGAGGCATAGGAGGAAAGGAAATGATAAAATGTATTATATGAAGAAACTTTAATAAAAAAATTAAGATGCACACATATTCAAGTGTCTGAGGTGAACTGTGTCATTACACAATGACACCCATTTCTTCTGGCTCAGGCTCCTTCCCCTGTTGACACTGAGCCAAAGTTGGTAAGAGGTTGAGAAATAGGGCTACAAAGAGGCCCTTGGCTCCTGCCATACCGAAAGCTGATACTGCAAGGGCAGCTTCCCCTGGAAACATTTCAATAGCCATGAAAATTGTTCTTCTCATGCTGTGTAGTCCGTGAAAGGTCATAGCCACCCAAAAACCACATGCACTGGCACTGTCCATTAAAACATAATGGGAAGTCCTTATTTCGTTGCAAATCTGCCAATGGCCATATTAAGAAAGCAAAACAGGCAGTAGAAAGATTGCTCAGTGGTTCCGAGTGTTCACTGTTCTTCCAGAAGACCAGAGTTTGATTCCCAGCACTCAAGTCTGGCAACTCACAACCCCTCTGTAACTCAAGATCCAGAAGACCCAAAACCCCCTTCTGGCCTCCACAGGCACCTAAAGACATAGGACATACACACACACACACACACACACACACACACACACACCTTTAAGAAATATTTTAAAGTGAAACAGAAAGAGGTGAAATTAATTTTAATAATCATCTTATTTAACACAATTTACCCCCAGGTTACCATTTTTACATATAGAAAATTAATAAGGTTTTAAAAATACTCATTTCAGCCTGTTTTCAAAACACAGCATATATTTTACATAGGAAGCACCTTCAGCCTGAACATGGGCTCAATAGTCACCATAGTTAGTAACCCCCGAATTGGATACAAAAGCATTCAGACTTGCAGGGATTGGGGGAGTGCCAGGCTGTGTTATATACACTTCACAGCCATTGTCTTACCTTCTTAGGTTCAATCCTGTGAGGTACATATTATGAGGAACCCTGTCTCACAAATGTCAGTGGATGATTTACTACAATTGGCATGGTAACTGAGAAAGGAATAAAATAAGCGTTAAGTCCAAGGGGGAAATTTTCCTAATAAGAAACAGCAGCAAATGAGATACACTGACCCAGAGAGATAAACAGCCCAGGGTAAGGTCTGTGCAAATAAGTAACAGAGTACTGGTTGATAGCTTGCCTCTGCTGTGGTTAGAAATTTAAAAATCACAGCAAACAGTACTAGCAAAATGGAAATGAAGGTTGGAGGGATGGATGGTCTGTTGGGGAGTGCCAAGGCTAACAACCTGAATCTGATCTCCACCTCCAGAAGCCATAGAGCATATATACATAGAACTAGACATCCTAGGCTTGAAGTTTTTTTTTAACACACACAAGAAAAATATATTCTACTATTGTAAATAAGATTTTAGGTGGTAATATTAATTGAGTATACTTGGCCCTCCATACCCACAAAATCAACCAACCATTTACATTGTATTAGGCATTGTATGTAATATGAAGATGACTTAAAGAATACAAAATGTATATGCAAATGTGCCATTTTATAAAACAGAATTTAGGGTGCCTGCATTCCGGGAAAGATGGAACCAAATCCCCACAAATACCAAAATGCTTACATTAAACTATGGAAGAAACAGAAGAACATTATCTTCCTAGAGAGGAAACCTTTTAAAAATTTAGACTTCTCTGGATATTAGATATTCATGACGTACTCTTTGTACGGAGCTTGGGTTTAAATTGATACATGCTGTCTTTCCCTCCCTTTCTTCCTTCTATGCCCTAGATCAATGGCTCTCAGACTGTGGGTCATGACTCCTCTGGGGTCAAAAGATCTATTTACAGGGGTCAAATATCGGATATCCTGCATATCATATATTCACATTATAATTCATAACAGCAGTAAAATTACAGCTATGAAGTAGCAATGAAAATAATCTTATTTAGGGGTCACCACAACATGAGGAATAGTATGAAAGGGTTGCAGCATTAGGAAGTTGAGAACCACTTCCATAGATGTTTTTCTTGCCTGTCATCTTCTTGCTTTACAAGTAGTTGTTTTTATCCACAGAATTCTCAGACCCAAAAAGGAATGAATTCCATACTTACTGTCTTTGATCTCCAAGGACAGAGTGTGACTCGGGGAGGGGAGGATTCTAGCAGGAAACAGACTGTTTGGATCTGCATGTTGCTCCCAGGTCACACTTGCCCAGGAGCCAGCTAACAGGCACTACGGATGTGCTTGCCAGGGATACCCAGTTAGACAGGCTGAGCCAGCACTCAGCTCACTGGCAGCTAACAGGCAACAGAGATGTGCTTGCCAGTGATACCCAGTCAGACAGGCTGATTATGAAGAATCAGCTGCAGGTGCTCTCCATGGATTGGCCAGCTCTGTAAAGCAGGTTCTCTTAGCCCTGCAGCCCTTAGAGGAATCAAGTGTTGCTGAAACAGGTTCACTGCTTTGCACTGAACTTCCATTGGTTGCAAAAGGAATTCCAAATGCAAAGAAGAAGGTAATAAAGCAGAGGGAAAGAAAAAAGTGGGGAGAGAGTACCTAATATGACCACCTAAAGGATTCAAAGGCCCAGTCCTGGAAACAGCATAGAGAACCAGCTGACAGCAGGGCCTTGAGTAAAAGGAGGCAGATGTGCCGGAAATGAATCAATCATCTATGCTCCTGTTTCTCCAGCAAACATTTAATAAGAGTGTCCCATGTGCCAGGTATGGAGTGGGTTGCTGAGCATCCAATTCAAGATAGCCACATCCCACAGCCTAAAGAGCAAGTTAAGAAAGTGAACAGATACGAGTACAAGGTTTATAGTTTTGAAAAGTATATGGGGCTAGGGGATGAATGTGTAGGGCACACAAGCTGGCCTGGAATTCAGGGTAGGTTTCCCGAAGAAGGCAGGACTGCTGGGAACTTCAGAGGATGAGATGTTAATGAGGCAAAGGAAAAGTGAGGGCAAAGGTGCATTCCAGGCAAGGGGCTCCCAGAGGAGGAGAAATGACTGATGTTTAGGAATAGAGATTAACAAAGCAGTTTCCTGAAGCACAAAGTCCAGGCAGGGAACCTTGAAGCCAGAGAGGCAGAATCAAAAATAAGATCTGCCAGGGTAAGATTTGCATGTCATCTTAAAGGAAAGTGATCTTGTCAGGTACAAGCTGAAGTCAGGAAAGTGTTACTACAGAAGCTGCGGCTAGGAGTAAGGGATCTGTATTAAGGGAGGGGCAGCCCAAGCAAAAAGCAGGAAAACCAGTGATTCTAGGGAGAGCTACTGAGGGCTGAATGAGGACAGTGGCAGCAGAAGAGGGATAAACCAGAGCGGTGATCCTCAAATGTCTACATAACAAAATACTACAAAACAAGGAAAGGATACACCACCAAAACACAGAAGCAACTAGAGAACATGTGCATGCGAAGTGACAGAAATCAAATACAAAAGGCAATGGCTTTATCCTATTTAAAATGAAATATTCGGGAAGACTGATCTAGAAACCAGCAGTAAGCGATTGCCTAGGGTGGAAGTAAGACTAGGTAGGCATCAGGGATTTTGTTGTGGTGATGGGAACATTCTACTAAAGTTGAATTTAAAACAGTAATGGTTACACTCTAAAATAGCAGAGGGCTGGTAAACTTTTTAAAAGGTAGTTAACGTACACTTTAAAACAGATAAGATTATTTTTGATATGTAATTTCTATCTCAATAAAGCTTTTTCTCCCCTTCCCCTTAAAAGTTTAAATTCCCAGGCTGGAATATAATCCAGTTAGCAGAGTGATTACCTAACATTCGTGAAGCCTGAGTTTAAATCTCAACACCACATAAACCCTGGACCCTCTAATCCCAGGATTCAGGAGATAGAGGCAGTGAATCAGAAGTTCAAGGTCATCCTTGAGCTACAGATAAAGTTCTAGGGGAAAAACAAGTTATCCAGAAGTACTTACAAGCTCATCTCAAGCCACAATCTTCTAAGTAAAAAATCTTTTATGCGGCATAGAAAGGGTTTGTCACAAGCCCCCCACATAACTCTGTTACATCTAAGGATAAGAAGCAGCGGACTAGAGAAACTGGAAGAAGAAACAACTAGACATGGAATTTAAGAGGGAAGGTAGAACAAGAAAAAGACAATTCTTAAAGATTCCAGATTTGTAGAATGAGAGACCAAGATGCTGACACTGAGCCAAATGAGACTGGCAAAGCGAGACAATAACAGGTGTTCAATGCCGGAAGGTCCAGCAGAAACAGGCAGTTCATGCTAGGATGTTCATTGTAGCCAGGGTGTTCCTGAGGGCCTGTGATTCCAACACTCTCAAGAAGGCAGCAAAATTAGTTCAAAGGCATCCCTGCCTACACAGCAAGTTGGAGATCAGCCTGGCCTACATGAGGCCCTGTCTCAAAACAAACAAACAAACAAAAAAAAACCAAACAAACAAAAAAACTACCAACAGCACCAAAAAAGAATAGACCTTATGTCATTTGAGGAAAAAGATGACCAAAGGCCAGATAGGTTTACCAAGTTGGCAAAGACCCAATGGCGAGATGGCAAAGGAGGGGGCATGTGGGGTACCAAACCATGAGATTCTATGGTTCTAGACAGAACACACCGCTACCCTGAAGGAGAAAACACAGGTTCAGTTTTGATGGGATTTGCTAAAGCAGAGGAAGGACTGGGGTTTGGGAGTTGGGTATAAAAAAAAAAAAAGCAACTGAGATAATCAATGCAAAGGTTGACAGATGAGGAAAAGTGACACCATGTATAAGACAGAAAAGGAGCCTGGCAGAAACAAGAATCCAGACATTATTAGTTGGTGAGCAGTGCTCGGTATTTTCAGGAATAAAGTATTCCTAAGATAGGTAGCTATTTGTATTGAACTCTGGTACTTGGGGCAAAACACTAGAAAGCCAGAGAGAGCCATAAACTTACTATTCAAATTCCTAGGTTGATTGCATTAAACTTCTGAACATGAGGGGTGCTGTCTTAGTTTTAAATCCCAGAGAACACTGTGCTTCCTGTATCTTACACAAGCAAATATGCACATGCACACAGAGAAAGGTTGATAAATTTGGGTTGTAGCAAACATAATGGTAGCTGATGCTTATAGCTCAACAATAATCCTGACCCAGTGCTCTGTTCTTTCCAGCCTGGTGCCTGAGAAATGAGGGTGTGAGTTCTGTGCTCCTGGGATCATCCACTCCTGAACAACTCATTGAAAACCTTGGTGCCATTCAGGCAAGTATTGTAGCCCTTTTCAGCAAATTCCAGGAATGCTACAAATGTGTCTCCAGGCAGTGTCCTGGACAAGGTATAGGTGGACACTAAGCTGTAAGCAGCAACAGCACAATTACACAAAACCTGGATCTAGCTATGGCTGTCCTCTGCTTGTTTAACAAACAAGTTTCTCAAATTCTACAGCAGCTCATTTTCTTGTGGGCCAGTGCATTCCAATGTCATACCTGGCAACTGACTTCCTAGGTCTAACCATAAAAGCATGTTTAACTGCCTGCTTGAGATGTAACACTTATAAGACAACACCACCTCATTTATTCATTTGTTCCTGTCACAAACTACTGCCAACATACTATGCCAAGTGACTCCTTTTCAGTCATCTAGCAGCAGCCTGTGATGCTCACTCATCATACCTTTTAGGATGTGTGATAACTGTCTGTCCCCTCTGCGGGACTGGAAGGCTGAAGGTCAGAGACCTCTGGCTCTCTTCTCCATTGACTTCCCACTTCCTACTATGTGGCCCTTAGTTATTACTCCAGAAGTAACTGAGGAATAAACTCCAGTTTGGAACTTTCAGGATCACATTCCCCTGGAAGCAAATCCAGAAGGCCCATTCCACACCTGAAGGCCAGGTGCTGGATTGAGGTTGCAGCAGCACCTGGGTAATATGTAGAAGCAGGAAGAGGAAGGACATCTAAAGATGCTCAGGAGCATCTAAGGAAGGGATGGGTTTGGTGGTCTGATTTCTTCACCACTGAACACAAGTCCTGAGCCTGCCCCTCTCTGTTTTGCTGACAATCCTAGGATGAGCCTGTCCACTGCTTAGCCATAACCTGTGGAAACATGCAAAGGTGACTCCCTCTTGCTCTCTGGGGAATAAAATGTCACAGCTTCTCCTCTATCCATCTATTCCTAAGACAAGTCCTGCCACCTCTCCCAAAGCCAGAGATGAAGGTGGAGACAAGAGTATTTAAAACCCCCTTTTAGAAACCAACCAGAATGCACTGGACACTAAGTGGTACAGACTGCTTGCCTAGCCACCACCTTTCTCAGGACCAGGCAGTAGGGTAATCCTCTCTGCCTGTTTCCAAACCCTGCCCACCCATAGTTTCTCCTAGACTCTGTGGGATCTGACCCTTCACAGCAAATGCCCCCTCTAATGAACCATCTTCTTTCATTTTCAGTTATACACTGGGAAAAGATACAGTTACACAAAGATGATGGGGTTGGGGCACAGTTTTTACCCAGAAGAATTGAAATTCAATTCAGTGATTTCAATTCTATTCATATATGGGATACTTACTGCATCTGGCGCCAAGCCAGACAGTTGGGTTACTGTGATGAGTAAGAATGAGATCCTGCCCTCAAACGGCTGGAGGGCTAAGAAAGAGTAAATTAAGAAATCTATCTATACTTTAAAGCCAGTCTCTGAGAACTCACTATGTATGAGGTACTGACACCACCACAGGACACAAGATACTGTCCAGTCTTCAACAAGTTTACATACATACTAGGAGACTGATAAAAATGTACAAAATTTCAGATTCTGTAAGGGCTACTAAGCAAACAGAATGTTGTACCAAAGAACAAGTAAGCCTACTTGACATAGTAGCTTTGCAAAAGCCCCCTCCCTATAGGATGTTTATTCTGAGTCTTTGGATTGATTTACATGCCTCCCCACAGCATGAAAGAAACCCAGGAATATATTCCAGGAACAAATAGAGCAATGTAAGGGACCTAGGTTGGGAGGGAACATGGCTTACAAGTACAGAATCCTTTATAGGTTTTAAAGAGAGCAGATATGCTTCTATGTGAATGTTCTGAGATTCCTGAGCTGCCCCTAAGGAAAGCAGAATGCAGGGCTGTGATCATCACCTAGGCAATGGGAGTGGAGTGGACAGATCTGCAGATTTGGGAAAGACAGATAAAAATCTTGGCAGGAAGAGAATGCAGAATTCCTATCATGCTAACACTGTGATCCCCAATCCCAGGGGAAGTAACAGCTAGGAGCAGGCATGAAGCAGCAACCCTAGATCTGAGCGGTCAGAGCAGTAAGAGCCTATTGGACAGTGAGGGAAAGGATACTTTTAATTCCCAGAGCATTTCCTCCCTAACAAGGTTCTGGCTGGCAGCTGGTTGGCACTTCCATTCTCTAAGGGCAAAGATGAGGGATGATACCCTGGCAGCCTCATTGCTAGCACACGGGCCTACCAAACTCCCTTCTTCCCCCCAGCACGTAGGAGTCTAGACATGATGTAATGGAAGCCCTGGCTGTGGTGAAAAGTAGACTGAATATCTGGGGAAGCCAAACACTGATGGGATTGACTACAAATGTACAGAAAATGTGGAGTGCTGGCTGCCATAAGGAAGGGAAAATTTGGGGACTGGAAAAGTAGTAGTAGCTGCACTGCACAACAGAATATGCCTATGTACAAGAATGTGTACACACGCGCACACACACAGGAACCTCAGTTCAGACCCAATCCCCACATACACCCCAATAGTGGTCGAGGTGCCACCTCCAAAGTAACCACCCTCCAACCTGCAAAATCCCCCATCATTCCCAAAGAACACAGTCCTGGAGGCCCTCCCTGATGACCCCCCAGTCCCAGCAACACTAGTCAAACTTCACCTTAAACCATCAAGTCTTCCAGGCAGTGTAACAATAAGGCTGCACAACTGGTACAATCTCATTAAATCTGCACAATAGCTTAAAAGTTGTACAACTGGTTTAATCTCATGAAATCTGCATATCTTAAAATGTTTTTTAAAAAAGTATCTTCAGTGTTTTTAGTGATCTCACACAAAATGGCTCCTTCAGAAAACACTTGACTTTTAACACTCCACAAGTCTTCATGTCTTACTCAAGTACTTTTATATTTTCACTGTTTCCAGCTGATACATATTTGAGACATAATAAAGTTTGGGTTTTTTGTTTTGTTTTGTTTTCCTCTCTCACATGGCTAGCCCTCTGGATTTTTCTTCCACTAAATCCATTTTCTGATCTCCAATCTCATTGTTAAGTCTCCGAGTAACATTAGCTATTTAGAACCTGAAACTCCAGAGCTAGCTAATGGGAAACAAAACTCCTTAGCTTCAGGTAGAAAAAAACAATAACCAGAACCACAAGTTTCCCAGGCAGAGGAGCTGAACTATTGTGCCAAGCCCCAAGGCCACTAAGGCCAGCCCTGGTGTAGAGACAAGGTCACCTCGGCCAGCAGGACTGCAGCAAAGGGTGAGGCCCAAACCTCAGAATTGTTCATCCTAATTGCAACTCACCAGCCTCTTCACAGACAGGGTCAGACTATTCCAGGGAGAAAGCTGGTCTTCGTCCCGTCTCGTGGTAGAATGTGTACACTGGGTTTACTTATAATAAATGCTGGCCCTGAGTGAGCAGCTGCCTGCATGCAAGTCAGCTTAGAGGCCCCACATGCACACAACACATCCTGCTCCACAGTCACTCCCCAGACCTCCTCCCTTCCCATTCCACTGTCAGTAGCCTTCAGTCCTGTACTGTCTGTCCCTTAAGACTGTGTATCTGATGGGACCAAGTCCTTACAGCAGTGAGTCTCCATCTGTGGGTCTCGACCCCTTTGAAGGTTATACTGTCCTTCACAGGGGTCTCATACCAAATATTTACATTATAATTCCTAACACTAGCAAGATTATAGTTAAGGAGTAGCAGCAAAAATCATTTTATAGTTGAGGTCACCACAACATGAGGAAGTGTATTAAAGGGTTGCAGCACTGCCTGAGAGGTTCCCCCACAACCCACAGAAAGAAGTCCTAACTCTACAGTGGCATTCAAGCTCCCCTACACATTCCAGCTTCTTCTCCCTTACTCCCACCATCCCCACTAGTCCATCCGTGCTATCACTCCATCTCATTAATCACATCCATGCCATTCCATCCATCTGGGAGGCCTGGTAAGCTGCAAACATCCTTCACCAGTTCTAAGCAGCAGCTGGAAACTCTATTCCCAGTCTCTAGATCAATGCTATCCACTGCCACAGCTTCTAGCCTATTTGAGTACATGAATAATGATCATGGCCTGTCCAAATATGTGTGTGCATGCATGAGTTTATATATACACTTAAGTATATATGTTCACAGGATTTGAACAGGACTTAGCAATAACTCCCAAATTACCTTAATTTTCTTTACTAATTTATTAAAATTACTGAATTTATTGAAATTAAAATATTAAAGTGATAGATATTAAATAAAATGTGTTAGTGGATACAATGGAATAAAAATGTATTAATTACAACATTTTAAGACAGGTGACTTGCCTGCTAGAAAAGCTGAAACACAGATTACTTACATTGAATTTCCACTAGTTAGAGCTACTCTGTATTGCTATGAGACTTCACTTATGTTTTCACTATTTCTTTAGTCAACAAACACAATCTCTGACTTGAAGCTCTGTTCAGTGTGGAGAATGGGGGTGGGGGTGGGGGCTCCATTCCAACTCTGGCTTGCAAATAAACGGCAAGTATAAGTGACTGCTTAATGCTGAATACTTCGATACAAATGCTCAACACTAACACCATCCTTTGTGCTTCTCCTCCACCCCCTCAGGTCCTCCCTAAGATGACATCACATGTGGTAAATGAGATTGATAACATACTGCGCAACAAGCCCTACAGCAAAAAAGACTATAGATCATAAGGCAATGCATGAGCCCCAGACACTGCATGGGTAAAATATGGTGGGTAGGCAGTGCAGAATGACCTTATTAGACACTCTTCTCAATCACTTAGCAGCTTGCTGCTCAACCTCTAGTGTCCCAGGATTCTCTGAGGTTTCTGCTGTTGCTACCACTGTGCACTCTGAATTCTGAACAAGTGAAAATTCACAACCCAGAAAATCCATTCTATTTTCTTATCTTGGACTGGTCCCCTATCCTTGCATTGTTCTGTGCACCTCATGCTTCTGCAATGGAAAGAATATTGGGATAGGGGAAATCTATTATCTTCAGACATTCGTAACTTAAAGGAGGCTGTACATATATATTTTTTTCAAAAGAGCAAAATTCGCAGAATAGAAACAGTATGTGAGCTGCATAGGAAACAGGATATCCTCACTCTTTAGTCTTGCTTGGGAGAACAAACAGAATTTACTTTTTTCATATTCCATATTCACATTAGCAAGTTTTAAGTCACCTGTCATTCAACACTAAAATTTCTAGGTATTTGTTTTCACTATCTTGAAGTTTTTTGTTGTTACTTGGCCCTGTACAATTTATCTGGAGTACCTGTTAGGATTCTAATGTGTGTATTTACACATAGAGGTATAAAAGTATGGATACCCCAATCTTTACTAGATACATAATGGCTAATTTATAAAAGGGTTACAATGCTATGGAAACAGCTTTGAATAAAATGTTGTGTTCATTTTTTACATTTTATTAAAGCCAGCATATACTTTGAATTGCTTGTAGGCACAATTCCTGCAAGTTTAAATATTTGAGCTTTAAAAATACACATATACTCAGTTTTTTAGTAAAACCTATAAATACCCAGATAGGCAAGTGTTGAGTTTACCACTGGGGCATTATAATGTAATGCTTGGTACTTTCTGAGGCGTTAACATGGAAACAAAGCATAAACAATGTAAACAACATGTTGCCATTCCTTAGCATATGCTGGATGAATTAACTTGCCCAGAAAAAAAGCAAAATATTCAAAAAGCTCCTGATTCTAATTGTATCACCCATTACACTGTATGCATGAGAGCTCTTTGCATGCAAAAAGGGGCTTAGCTTTGTGCTCAGAATCTGAGATACACCCAGCCCTGACTCTACTTCACCTCACTATCCCACTTGAGAAAAATTGTAAGACTATGCTGTGTGGATATCTGCATATAAGGAGAAAACACAGGGTGTTTTTTTCTTCCTTTTCTGTAAAGGTGGGATCACTTTCTAACTTTGTCTATCTGTAGATGGACAAAATTCTACTTCATGTAGTCAGCAAGTTCCCTATCACTTTAAGAATTATAAAAGAAATATATGAACTTAAAATCATTTTCAGATATGTATCATATGGTTAGGTTCTAAATCTCAAACCATCAGTGTCAGATACCAAAATGATTGTTACTACCTAGAGTTTAATAGGCAATTTGGAAGTTCTGCCCATGAGTATGTGACTAATGATGGAGACTAATTAACTTTCCAGCTATTCATTGTAAATTTAATCCACTGAACTACTGTATGTATAAATGAGTGAAATGTTGTCTAAAGGAAAATCAACTCATTTGCTTAAAGTAATAAAGGCATCTGTGTAATTCCATAATGCATCTTTGGGTCTTTCATTATAAGGCTTAAGAAACATACATCATCTTGTATATAAAATACAATAAAATGTCACCAGGAAGTAAACAATAATCACCTAAATAAATTACATTAATAGCCATATTGCACTGAATGCTTCACAGAAGTCACAGTGACCAAAACAGGCTAAAGCAAGGAGGGGAGGTGCATACCCTTATTCCCAGTTCTAAGGAGGCAGAGGCAGAAGGATCAAGAGTTCATTCAGTTTGAACTACATTAGACCCCCTCTCATCCATCCCCATTCCCACAAAAAAAAAAAAAAAAAAAGAAGACAGAGATTTGTATTGCAAGCCTTGACACACACACACACACACACACACACACACACACACACACCCCTCTGTAATCATAGCACATGAAAAACTTAGGCAGGAGGGTCTTAAGTTTCTGGCCAGCTTGGACTGCACATAAAAGACAACTCCAAAAATTTTTGCTGAGACTTTTTTTCCCTTTTCAATGCATGCATTCGTATGCAGGCACACACATAAAATTAAAAATAAAAGAAAATTCAAGTCTCTCCCAAACTTGTATGAACTACCCTGTTTGAGACGATAAAAAAGATGGGAAATAAACTTGTCCTGCCCCCAAGAGATATGCTGCATTTCCACACACATGCACATATGTACATACAGACAAACCCTTTCTTAGTGTCCGCAGAACCTGCAATGCCTGACAGACGAAAAAGCCACATCAACAGCAGGCACAGAAGGCACATGTCAGCACACTACACCAGGGACCTGACTGCCCTTTAACTGTGCAGTGTCTGTCACTACCTCATAGACAAGTGAGCAGTAACTTCAACTGATAGTTAATATAAAACATGTAATTAAGATACTCACATGGTTTGCATGAAGAATTGCAGAAAAAAACACATTTTTAAAAACAAAGTTTAATCATACTTGTTAAAAACGACTTTTCATAAGAATGTTGAGTATAAATTCAACTTCCATTATTTCAATTAACTTCAAATCCTGTTTCAAATTATCCTTCCCAAGTTAAAACAATATACCAAACAGGACAAGTTATAAATTGAGATACAAGACTTCTATTGAGTTATAAATGAGTATATCAAGAAATGAAAATGCTGAACACTAAGTCTACCGATCACAGATATTGGAAAAAAAAAAAAAAAAAAAACATGCAAGCACATTGAGTGACCTGTTTTACTGGTGTTACATATATGGGGTCCTTTTAATATAAAAATCCTGCCTTAGGATTTTACTGTCATGCACCTCTTACTCAGCACTTCTTAACTCTATTTGCCACATTCCATGATGGAGAAGAGATTAGGGATCAGGGTCCACATTTCTAAGTGTAAAAGATTGATACATTTAATCCTTAAAGGGAGCTGATGATCTGGCTATATGACTGCATAAACAGAAACTAGTCTGGTAGCATAGAGTCATTTTGGAGTTAAAAACAAAGACAGCTGTAGGAAACATTCAAGACAGAAATAAACTACACAATTACTCTCCCGGCTAACTTTTGGCTAAAAATTCAAAAGAATTAAAACTTTGAGGCTGGCACCTCTATTTCACCATTCCTGAGCTGCTGACAATATTGTCAAATAATAGTGGTGACTTTCTTTCCATCTACATAGGCACTGCCACCTAGTGGCAAGTTTGCAGCAGCCACTTAGAAGGTGCTTGACCCAGCTTTACTAATAATTTGATGATGTATTGAATTATTTTATTAGGTACACAAACTGTTACCAGCTAAATACTGTTTAAAACAGGAGAACAAAACACCCTACCTCGTGTGTTACCCAAATGTACCTTGCACTGAATCTCTTCTCATTTCCTACTATTCCACATTACGTGGTGAGGGTACTCAGGTAACAGTGCAGCACAGAAAAGAACTGGGCACTTCCAGAAGCACTGTAAGATGATTCAATGCCAACAAAGAGAAGTAAGGTGACTGTACAAAGGCACTCCTCTGACCTTCCCTAAGTACTTAATGCAGACCATCCAAACATCTACCAGCACAGAAATAGTTCAACTCCTGGTGAACACATCTTCAAAATCCTCAAAAGTTTACAAGTAGAAACTAAACATTAGGAATACTTCCCTTTGAGGTGCCATTTATAGGAAGTCCCCGGGTGTGGTGAACAGCGAATAGCAATATGAAGCCAATGATCAAAAGTGTAAAGTTATCCGAATGTGGAAGTCATGGCCCACAGAATCGGCACATATTTGGGGGGTGGGGACACAACCTGAGGCTGCTCTTAGCTAGGCCTCAAAAGACTGTGATCAGCATTTGTTCACAATTGACAGGAACCCTGGGCAAAGGGGAACAAATTTATTAGAGTCCTCATTTAAAAAAAAAAAAAAAAAAAAAAGCTGACAACCCTTTTAAACCACTGTAAATTCCTTGGAGAGTTCACTGAATTCCAGGACTAAGTTCACAAAAAATTCTTCTGGTCTCTCATGTGTCAATAACCAGGAAAGAAGTGCTTTCTCACTTAATATTCTGCCTATAGTGCTGAGAGCCTGGTCACAGAAAACAATGATTCTAGTGACTTCACACATCAAACCAATATGGCAGGGTCAAGCTGACCTCCCTGGCAGCCCAGGGCCAAAGCCATACAGCTGAACAGTGTGTGCTGTAGCTTCACAGGCCAACACTCATAGGCTGGGTACTATTTTTAGGTTACTACCTTGGCTGCCTTTCCTAAAAAAAAAGAAAAAAATCAACTGCAAGTTTCTCTCCCTCAAGTTGGAGAGGCCATGTTTTTGAGTTATTATAAATTACAAACTCAGAGACTTCTGTTTAATCCCTTGGGAAGAGGATTCACTCTGAGATTTACAGTCAAAAGTTGTAATATTGTGCTTGGAACATAGAGAACTAGTCATTAACTTCTTCCTCCTATTATAAATAATAACAGCTCAGTCCAGGTTACCATGACCTCTGACAGATGTAGGAAACAAGTTATTTTCTTCTCTTGTGATTAGAACACATTGCAAGACTTCTTGCCATTTAATAAATGTCCCGGTACTCTGAGTTTCCCTTTCAACTCATTTAATTTCAACAATCTGTCAAAAAGAGCCAATAAACAAACACTGTATTACATTCTATTGCATTTTTAAACCCTCAAACTCCAGACTATAAAAACATCTTGTGTGTCTCCCAACCTGGCCACCCTGTTACTTTTCCATACACCACAGGCCACCCATAGATACAAAGGCAGGGGGCCAAGCTCCACAGTCTACTTGGAGCCAGTAGAGAGGAGAGCGATGAGTCCAGATGAAGCACTTATAGACAAAATGTAGTTCCTGCAAGAAGATAATGTTAAGGAAAAAGTGAGAACCCAAAACCAAATTTTCAAAAATAAAAGAGCCTTTCCTTATTGACACAAGAATGTGTGTGTAGTTTCACTGTCTGGAAGGCTACAAAACATGAAAAGTACTCATATGCAATGTGTTTCTATACTGAAAAGACACTTGAGTCAAACCCAGAAGAAATAACAATCACAAAGAACAAATCTTAGTTCCACTTAAACCCTAATGAGAAGAGCTGGTCAAACAACATCAGACACAAACTGTCAAGGGCAAAAAGCCTCATGTCACAGTCCTGCTATTGTTGGCCTACAAGGCAAAGTGGTTTGGAAAGTTCCTGGCTCTTTACAGACTCTTTGAGCAAACCATTCTGGCAAGGCCCACCAGTATTCCCAAAAGCCGTGAGCTGGAAGGTATCTGATATTTCATTACACCATAACCTCTGATTGTTACAAGTTTGGCTGCATTTTCCTGGATAACACCTTTAATAAAAAAATTCCTTTAATAAAAGACAAATGATTCTTGGTCAAAGCTCAATTTAAAAACATCTTGAACACTATGAATACATAAACTGTGCCTGCCATCTGTAACTACCTCGGCCATCCACCTAACGCCCAAAGCCAGCAGATGCGCACAAAGGAGCTAGTGAAGACAGCACATTCATTTACTCTGACTTTGACTCCTTTTAAACAGGAAAGTGGACAAAGTTATACACACAGTGTAAGATTGCTTTATTACACTTGCCACTTACCATAAAACTAACTTACAGACTTAAACAGTAAGGCAAGCCAGAAACTTTTTAAGTTCTAAGTCCATAGATACCTTCCTAAAGTTAGTACTATTTAGCTAGCTCTGAGGAGTTTTTGTTTCCACTAACAGACCAGATGGCTTAAAAATAAAACAAATTACTGTTTATAGGCTTCTGAAAACTTTTTAAAGGATACACTGTGGGATTGAAGTTCTTCAGTATAAAGAAGGAAGCAACAATGACCAAAACCAGGAACAGAGTGTTGTTATAGAAGATGGAAAATGTTGTGGCTTCATAATCAGCAACCTCATTCTTCTTCCACAAGATTCTATAGATACAAAAACAAGTTAAACAAGTTTATAAATATCACCAAATACTTTAAATACCAAATGGTTCTCCTTCATTACAAGACAAACTTTTTCTTGTGTTCAAGGCTAACAATGTATTTGCAGTGTTAAATTTAGAGCAAATTATCACCGTTCTTTCACTGAATTCTGTTTTCCTTGTTGATGGCAAATAACAGTTGCTGGGTGTGTTGCCATTTTCCCAAACAGCCAAGGCTACAGTAGAAGGGAAAGGCATTAATTGCAACTGGCATGATTTTATAAGCACCTAAAATATGTGTCTTTATTTAAGAGTCCCAGGACTGCTATGGATGTGGCCTAACACATTTATAGAGGATGTCTTATCACAGGTCAAAAAATTGATACTCTTGGTTAGGTCTGCACTTGAAACTCAGTCTCAATGGTTGCTATGGCCTGGGCTTCTTTGGCTTTAGCTTCTCTGGCTACATCCTAGCTTAAGGATTTCTAATCTATGGGCTTCAGCCTTTAGTTTCACATCTTAAAGGGATAATGCCAAGAACAAAGCTAGCCACCATCTCACCAGTCAGCTGCCATTCCTTTCAAAGAAGGAATCTACATGATTTTTAGGATGGTTGTTTTTAACTTCTATAAAATTCTTACTTTTAAATCTATTTCAATTGCTTCTACATTTATCTGTCTTTTATCTCTCCAAATCAGCCAAGAGGGTGTTTCAGAAAGCTTTTGATTAAGGCAGATCTCATTTCACTTGGCTAATTAACTTTGCAAAGTCATTTTTTATTTTGTAAAGTAGACTGTGATCCATTGGTAGGGTATGAAATGAAGTAAGTTGTTCAAAGGCCCAGAGAAATTAAGCAAGTGGGTTGAGACTTGCTTTTCTTCTTTAACGCAACAGGGAAAAAAAAAAAAAATACTGAGAATCCACCACACACAGTGTGGTAATTACTGTTTTCTGAAACATTTGTATGTATGTACAAATCACTATCTTTGGTTAAAAGGTGAAATGCTGCTTCACTGTGGAATCATCATCAAAAAGATTAAGAACTGCAACTCTAGATGCTTTGTCCTCCTGGGAAGACATCCAAGTGTGATCCGATAATACAGAGCCCCCCAAGCCACCCCACAGGGACTGCTACTTATCATGTGCTCTAATCCAAATTCAGGAAGCTCAGCTATTAGGGCTAAAATGAGGGTATAATCACCTATCCTCACCATGAGCAATTTGTAGTCTCTAATAACACTGATGTTTTAACTTCCTTGATTTTTACAAACATAACTTAATAAACTTACTCTACTTTGGGAAACAGGAAGAACATTACATTAAAATATAGCCAACAACTAAAAACATTCTGATTTCAAAGAAGAGTAAATGTAAATCTAAACTGGAAGAAATACATTTTACCACTCTTACACTGCTCTAAGGAAATCAAGCACAGAAAGGCACACAGGCCCAATGTACCTGAATGCTAAAAAATACTCAGAATCAACACAGCTATTTTTGACTCTGGCATAAGACCCAATGAGCTATGGCATGCTTTTACTCTGCTGATTAAATCGTCCCAGTGACATCTGAGCAGGTCTCCCTAACTCTCTTCCTGCCATGACCTGAAACAGAATCACCTCCAAAACAACTGAGATGGAAGTCTGATCAACCAGTCCACGATGTTACACTAGGGTATACAAGTCAGAACCATCTGAATGTCTTCAAAACATGTCTAGTCTACCCACACACTGCTTATTTTAAAATAATTTTAAAAACCCAAATGTATCATTACCAATGGTTCTACCAAGGCTTCATTGGTAGAAAATTTAGCTTGAAAGAATACCTCCCAAAGAATCATTCTTCAGGGACAGCTTACTAAAACAGAAGAAAAGGAAAGACCAAACAGCAACTGTTACAAGCAGATAATACAGACAAAAGAATTTCAGGAAATCAGTAAGTAACAGTTACACCTCCAAAACTCAAAGAATCTCTAACTAGCCACTGCTTATTTCCATCCTGGGGCGAGTGGCAGGACAGATACATGCCTGAGCCTGAACGGCTATAAATGAAGCCTGGAGGGAGACACAAGATGTTGCACTTTTTCTTACACCAAATCTCTTGGAAGCAGCTTATCCTCTAATAGCAACTTACCAAATCTGAATCTCTGATCTGTTATCCAGATCAACTGAGGCTAGACCCAGGTAAAACTATTTCTGTGAAAGAAATACTAACAGCACTCATTTCTACTGGTGACAAGAGGAATTTTATAATCTGCACTTTACACATCCACCTGACACACTTTGAATAGCTAAGTCAACAGATGGCAAAGGTTTCACTCCAAGTTCTGTTCTGACTCACTGCTAATGACTACCTGCATGACTTTCTCAGCACGAGAAAGATTCTGATCAAAATCTTCCCAGATCAAAAAACCAATACACAGAGTAGACTGGACAAGTCTGCAATAGGCAAGAGAGAGCTGTTTGCCATTTCCAATATGGCCACCTCCAAAACCTTGACAGCTGTGTCAATTACTTTGAAATATTGTCCTATATAATTCAGCAAAAGGGGTTTTAGGGCTACAGATTCTATAACTTTTATTTCTACTCAAAATTATGCCACCAAAGAGGTATGCAGCCAAACCTATAAAAGGCCTTCACTGCCATGACTTTAATATCATATCCTCAGTTTTAATAAAGTGTCCACAGAAGATAATAATTTTGTTCATGTTTGGTGCCTTACAAACCACTGCAGAAGCTTTGTTCACTAGGTTAGTGTTCTTTCAACCAGGGTCTACTTGATAAAGTCCTTCCACAGGCTAGTGCCAGGAAGACTGCTTTTCTGCAGGGCTCGAATGCCATGCCACTTCACATCAGAGTGAAGACAACATGACCTCACACACACTTGGGAACTCAAAAGCAAATACAATGCTCAAATGCTGGAGCTAATTCCAAGGTCGTTGTTTAAACACCTTTTTGTCGTTTTAAATAGTTTCCAATCTTAAAAAATTGCATTACTCTGCAAGGCCCAAACAAAGTCTTTTTGGGGGGAAGTGAAGTAACATCTTGTCCCACATAGCATCTCGATAAAGCTTAAGATCCATGAAAACAACCATGCTGGTAAACTCTTATGCACCAATTACTTGATCAGTTTGGGGCTTAGGCACTTCATACTGATGGATTCTTTAAGAAATCTTCTAAGAGCAGCTGGCCAAAAGGGGGGAAAAATGGGGGGGGGGAATGCAAACAGCACCACAAACTCAGGCAACAGAGGACAAACCCAGCCCTTTCTTTCCCCAGTCACTGCATTCAGTGTCCATATACGACATGCACACCCTGGGGAATTTAGACTCACAACTACTAAAAAATGTTAATGTACTACCCATCAGTAAAGTGGCATACAAGGACACAGAAACGCTGTTGCTTCCTAAATTCCAGCAGAACAGTTAGTTACTGGTATAAGCTCTCAAGTCAGACAGCCTGTATTACCATGGATCTATGTAGCAACAGCCAAGTTACTAAGCTTTCTGGACCTTGTTTCCCTTGCAGGTAAATAGAGTCCGTTATGTGTGTGTGTGTGTGTGTGTGTGTGTGTGTGTGTGTGTTCAGAGCTGACCATTTGGTAGTAGATAACCAATTGGTGTGCTCTGAAGAGACTATTTCTCCCCATCTCAGCATTCCTAATTGCCTCAGTTCTTTGTGTAGGCTTGAGGCCTCATAAGCTTTCCCTTTCCACATCACTGTCCATTAACGTCTTCCTCTTCCTTGTTCAGGTCACATGCAGACATCTATGCAGGTGAGAGTTCATGAGTGTGACTTCTCTGACATTTCTAGTAAAACAGAATCTCATAGCAAATGTCCTGTTCTTCTGGTTCTTACAATCTCCCTCTCCCCACTTCAGTGACGAGCTTTGAGCCATAAATGCAGGAATCATGTTGCATATGTACACCTAACTCTTTAGAGCAAATCAGCTGAATATAGCTCAAAGATAAGGCTCTAGTGGCAATAAAAACTCAACAAATGTCAGCTATTGCTATCACCGTTGCTACTACTTATACAATCCCAACATCTACCATCTTTAATGAGAATTCAAAAACTTATTTTCTCCCAAGTTTTATAACTTATAACTAACACTTTAAATAAGGAGCCAAGGGGGTGGAAAGACAGATTAAAGAGTACTTGCAGAGCAAACACAATGAGCACACACAGTTCAGAACCCAGCAGCCATGGAGAAGCTGGGCATGGTCTCGTGCACTCTGTAACCCCAGCTCCAAGAGGAGACACGTTCACCAGGGCCTGCTGGCCACCAACCTCTGTGGGTTGCTCCTGGTTCAGCAAGAGAAAGAACACAGTGGAGAGTGATGGAAGAAATACCTGACACCACCTTCTGGCTTGTAATGCACACACATACATATACACGTGTGTACACACACACACAGACACACAGTTTAACCTTTCATCTTTCTCCTTCCGAGACATTTTTCTGTTATCAGCTTCAGAAAGTTTTCGAGTCACTTCTTTGGAAACAGCATCCTCCCTCTTCTGTGCTACTCTGAAAGAAAACACAGAAAGAAAAAGGTTTCCACATGCTCTAGAGATGAAAATCAGTGTCGAAAAACACTCTGTACTCCCATTTTATATTGGCAACTGAATGATACTTTACATTTCAAGAAAGTCAACTGGACAGAAAGTCCCAAACTTATTACACTGTACAAGCCTAAGAGAAGTTCAGGAAACACTCAAGATAAGGTTTCTTAGTTATAGGATTTGATTTCTGCTTGAAAAGGAACATTTTCCAAAGCTGGGATATTTAATGAGTCAAATGCTATTAGCACAATTCATTGTGATTACATTTTATTTCCTTAAGTTCACAGGATGTTTTTTACTGATGTGATTCAATTCCAAGTAGAATACAGACTAGACATCTTGATTTAATACATGAAGAAAAATAACTGTAGGATCTTAAAGTTATGCTTGTAACTCCATCCCAAAGGACAATTTTATTTAAAAGAAATAACAGAGCATGGTCAGAGGCTGACCGTAACACTTATAGTTAAATTAGCCACTGGTTTGAGTTAACACTGAGTCAGACAGACAGTTTGATCAAGAACTCATCAGAATCTCCAGATCTTATTTGGGAGTGTGGGGAGGTGGTGAAAAAAGCATACTCATTGACTGGACATGATAGCAAATGCCTGTAATCCCAGTTCTTGGAAGTAGAAGCACAAGGTTCAGGAGTTCAAGGTTAGCCTCAGCTACATGCTGTCTAGTCTCAAAAAATTATACAGATCAAAACAACAACAACAAAAATCTACAAATAAATTTTATCAGGTGGAGATATTAGTAAAGAGGTAAATTTAAATAATAAAATATACATAGCCACCCATAGACTAAGACAATTATCTTCAACATAGTGTATTTTTCACAGAGTGAGATCTACAGTTAGCCCTACCAAAGAAAGTAGTAATGACAACATGAAAACTTTCATGGAGTAACTGGCAACCCCACAGTGCTCCCACTATGAAAGAATTCAACACAACAACCCAACAGGATAGAAAACAGACAGAAGGCTGTTCACTGTGTTCAAGTCCTCAGACTTCCATTACCACACGGGTGTTTAGTTCTGGTCAGCATATCAAAGAAAACTGGAGATAGACTCCAAGAGAACACCCAAGATCATTCATTCAACCTTGAGAGCCTCTAGAATCTAGAGTCTAGATGCAAGGTGAGCAGCCTGGCTGATTTTCCCAAGCCTCCATCTCCAGCTTTCACTCAAGAACAGTTAGAATTGACACTGATAAAAAGTAAACATCAATGAATATATATGTTTTTAAAGGGTTATCATTACCTTTTAACATTATGACCTCAAATTAATAACCCAAGGGAAGTAAAGCTAAGAAAAATAGATTGGTTAAGGGATCAGCTATTTAAGACCCTCCAGAGTACAATTTTATTCCAAAGACCCAAGCTCACATGATTTCATTCCATAAAAATCACCTTTTTGGCTATTTCTTTCATTCCTGAGAAGCTGGGTTCTTGAAGGAGAGATTCCTCTCTTAGCCTCTCTAGCAAACAAAGAACAATTTCCTGAACTAATTTCAGGCCCCTTTTCTCTAAATAAAACTTCCAAAGAGATGGGAATGGACAAATGGTCCATAGCTAAACATCAAAACAAACATACACATACTCGTAGTTGCCTAACTCAAAAACATAAGTCTTCAAAAGAATTATTTACCTGTACGATGCTCTACAGACTATCTGCAAGACAAATCTACATGAAAGACCCTGGACCAGACAACCAACTTCTCTTCTAGATCTAGCATTCTATTATTTACCAACTAGAGACTCAACCACCACCAGGTTTACTCAAAAAAGAGGTCCTCTCCAGTATCAGATGTCTTAAGTCTGCTAGAAAATATATCTCACTCTGTCAGTTTCCAACAAGACAAGTCCCCCCAGGCACCCAGCACACTGAGATAGCTCATGGCAACTATTTTTACTCTTTTTTTTTTTTTTTCCAACACTACATCAGAACCTTTCAGGGGGAAACACACACACACACACACACACACACACACACACACACACATACACTTAATTTCTTAAAACAAAATACTTAAATGTCTTTACAAACTCTATTTAAATCATGACCCCTTTCTAAGAAATAATTCCTAAAGGTTTTCATGCCAACCTTGAACAAAATATATTATTACATGCTGGATGCCATGTTTAACAACATATCACACAGTGATCCTAGTTCACCTTCCCTGCTTCTGAGTTACTATTAGAATCCTTATCTTACACCCCTGGAGTCAAAAATATAGACGAAAAATATATAACCCAAGACAACACAATTAAGAGTAACAGAATCTAGAGTTGTTGACTCTGACGCTATCTCCCCTATCACCACACCCTATAAGCACTCATGCTCTCATTGAGTCTGTAAGCCTTACTAATCATGTAAAATTATAATGGTTTTATTTTAGGACTCCTATGAGTAGGAACATGTAGAGGCCAGAGGACAACTTTGGGGACTTGGGGTTCTCTCTTTTCATTGTGGTTTCTAAGAACCAAATTCGGAGCTTGTATGGCAAGTTCGTTTACTCACTGAGCCATGTCACAAGCCCTGTATCTATAGTTTCTATGTGAGCTACAATGCCTCAAAACTATGACTGAAGCAAATTCTACTTAGGAGTCTACTAAGTCATCAATCCTCTTTATTGAATCCAGTGAAATTTTACTAAACTAAAATGTATCATTAACCATTCTGAGAGCTATAAAGCAAAAGACATAGCACTTGACCTCAAGAAGCCTAGAGTAGGACTCAAGTAAAAAGATAAGCATAAACAGTGAGTGGCATTCAGAGTAAGTAACAAAGCTCAACACCAAAGGGGCTGAGCTACAAAGGGATTAAAGGACAGCCATATAAGAATTTCTGATGGAGTCTCTATCCAGACATCCATGTCCCATAAAAACATAGCCCAGGAGAGTAGAGGACATAATGAGCTGAATCTTGAAATGGTAGGTGGCAAAGAGGTTGCCTAACAGAAGGATGACAGAGATGAGCTTGATTAGTCTGCTGGTCTTGCAGACTAATCATGAAGCCAAACCTTTATATGCCCAAGACAGCAGCTGCTTAGACCACTACTAGCACATCTCATAAATAAAACCCTGCTAACTGAAATCATAATATGCCACCAATTCCTTGTCAACTACAAGAGCCTACCTCAAAGACAACAAAGGAATGATCAAAGTCAGGTAGAATTCTCTGGAACGGTTTTCTGAGTCTTGAAATAACAGACATGTAAAAATAGAAAGCAGGGGAATCCTGAATGGAAATGCACTCAAGACACATTCAAAGATGACAAGAAGGCTAAATCTAACTCTGAAGGTTAGTCTTCAGAGGAAGGACACAGATGACTTTGATTCTAAGAACCTGAAAAGATTTTTGGTATTACTGTATTAGAAAAAAAAAAAGACAAAACATAACACACCATGGTGTGTTAAGATAGTTAACAAAATAAAAATGACAGATAAAGAGGAATATGTTACTTCCCAGCCTTTTGGCTAAAATATGTGATCTTTGAATTATTATCATTATTATTATTATTATTATTATTTGGCCTGCACATAAGTCTGTGCACCAGAGACATGCCTGGTGCCCACAGAGGCCAGAAAGCATCAGATTCCCTAGAACTGGAGTTGCAAACAGTTGTATGTCACCACGTAAGTGCTGGAAATTTAAACTGAGTCCTCTGCAAGAGCAGCCACTTAACCACTGAGCCATCTCTCTAGTCTCTCATCTATATGTATAATTTTATCCCATCAAATATGGATGATATAAGGGAGAAAAAGTATCATCAAATAGCTTTAGACTGCCTGTCAGAGGAGGCCCTATGTTTTTGTTTCAAATGACCAGATGGGGACTGCTACATCAATCCAAACAAAAAATTTCTAATCAAGTGTGGATACAATGGGAAATGGGGGGAAAAAAAGAAAAGAGGAAGGTTAAATACATAGCATGTTTAAGCTCAAAATTCCTACTGCCTTTTAAAAATTACTTTAGAAGTTTCAGAGAGATGGCTCAGGAATTAAGAGCACGTACTGCTCTTGCAGAGAACCTGAGTTCAGTTTCCACCACCCATTTCAGGTGGTTCAGAACTATGTATAATTCAAGCTCCAGGGGATCTAACACTTTTTTCTGCCCCCAATCATTTATACAAACACACACCACACCACACCCACTTCAAAAACAAAAAGTAAATCATAAAAGAATTTCTTATAAAAAAAGCCAAATCCAGAAGGTGCTATTGAATAAACCAGAGAGTATCCTGCTACTCCAAAAGTGTATATGAAAGCAACTCAAGAACATCTTTTCAAACTAAATATTAATTCATACTGTGCCTCCCAGAGGACCACAGCACTCTAAAATAATAAATTACAGCTAGTGTGGCTGCTTATGCCTATAATCCCAACACTATTCACAAGATCAGCCTGGGCTACATAATCCCCAGCTCAAATAAACAAATAAATATTCTAATTATTATAAGTCTACGCTCTCCTGTTTTATTTCTAAGAAAGCAGAGTATACAAGTGCTTATAGCATAAAAATATACTGAGGTAAAACTTGGGTTTTCTTCTCCAAAAGTTATTAAAATAATTTGTCAGTCAGGTGGTGGTAGCGTACGCCTTTAGTCCCAGAACTCAAGTGGCAGAGGCAGACAGATCTCTGTGAGTTTGAGACCAGCCTGGTCTACAAGACCTAGTTCCAGAACAGCCAGAGATACACAGAGAAACCTTGTCTCAAAAAAACCAAAATAATAATAATGATGATGATAATAATAGTAGTAATAATAATAATAATAATAATAATAATAATAATAATAATTTGTCTTATAATACATGCAATCTTGAAATTCAAGAAATACTGTTATCTCCTACAGGGAATACTCTTATAAAATTAAAAACAATGTAGCTGGCATTGAAAATGTCAGAGAATCTTTTTTTAAGTTGCTTCCAATGGGGCTGGAGAGATGGCTCAGTGGCTAAGAGCACTTTAAGAGGACCAGGATTCAATTCCCAGCACCCACATGGCAGTTCACCACTATCTGTAACTCCAGTTCCAGGGGATCAGACTCCTTCATACCAATGCACATAATTTAATTTTAAAAAAAGTTGCTTCCAAAATTAGTAAATGGACAGCCCAGAACAATTTCTAGAAAGAACTCCATTGAGTTTCTTCTAACATTAATTCATTTTGTAGATTTTGTTTTTCTGATGAAACCAGTGATTACAAACTACTGCTTAAATATTCGAATTCCACCCTGGACACCTATTTCCACTAAAGTGTCTGACAGCTCAAGGGACTATTAATTCTCCAGGTATCAATTTGCCTTCTTCCCACAATACACACTAGCGTGCGCGCACAACACAAACACACACACACACACACACACACACACACACACACACACGTTTCAAACTATAAGAAGACACTCACTCTACCATAAAGTATGCAGTGTATCACCGGTACTCTTGACAAATGTACTTACTTGTGCTTCAGGACAAACTTTACATTCTTGTATGCAAAGGCTACCAAGTAAGTGCTTACTAATGTCATCACACTGTAGAGAACAGCAGACTGAATAAGATCCATATGCCATATTCGCCAATACAACCCTGAAAGAAAAGGACACAAAAGAAAGAAAAGGACACAAAAGGGAACAAACATTACTACCAAATTACACAAGCCTGCCAGACTAATTATAGCCAAATGTTAGTAAATCCCACCCAAACTAGGCAACTTCACTAGAAGTGCATACCCAATAATCAGGGTTAGTCTCAGTTCAGGGCTTTTCTGGTTCATAAAGTTGGGTTGTGGGGGTATGACTAGTCTAAAGATTTCTTCATCAGGTAACTTGAGACAAAACTGGAAATTAAAAAAAAAAGTCACAAGTAATTCAAATTTCATTCATGGGGTACTATTATACTACATGATATAAAGTGCCTAATACAGCCACTTTATATCAAATGCTGTCCCAAAGCATTGATTTACTTGCTGACGTGGCTACTCTCTGAAATCAAAACAATGCTTTCTCAAGCCAGTGAAGCAGGGGGGCTGCACACCACATTCACTGCACGCTGAGTTTTTACAAGGCCTAAATAAGAAAATACGTTTGGGCTGTGTCTGGGCTGCAACAGTGTGGCCCAGGAGACAGAAACTCGGATGCCCTGAGCTTGAAAACCGCCTTGGCCTGCCTGGTCTGCAGGTTCCCATTCAAACGAGAAGTTAGAGTTGCTCTCTCGGGGTTATTAAATCCTAAACAAGGCTGATCGCTGACCTCTGACCTCTGGCCTAACTTCTGTCATTCTGCAACTCAAAAGGATGCTCAGGGGTGAGGTTCGGCACCGGTCACGCTGCTAATTCAGGGATAAGGTCTCTCATCTGGCTCATTCAAACAACAGTTGTGTGGGGAAGGACAGGTGGCGACACGCGTGTACCAACAACAGAACCCCGGGCAGAACCCGCGCGCGGCTCAAATGCACGCCATGAATGA